TCATGGCTGTCAGCTTGTTACCGACTTCAGATTGTATGGCTTCAAAACAACCTTTAAGGACCTATGCCAAATCTTCAGAGGGGTTTTTTAAACAAATAAACAGAGCTGGGCACTCCAGTTGGCTTCTAGACACTCCCCTCCCAACTTTTTCATCTGTCATTTCATTTGCCTAGGCTAGTGTTGAACTGAGCCCAATAAGCTGCCTAGCCTCCCCCCATCCCCTTCCCTCATACATGCACCTGTATTGCATTATGCACAGTATAATGTCTCTCCTCTGTTAGGACAGAAGTCCTGTAAATGTAGTATTTTCCATATTAGATGTACTGCCGCCAGGTTACCCAGTTTTCCGAAATCATAGACCCACCCATAGACACTAGTCTGCAGTAGCAGCTAAGGATTCAGCTATAGTTAAGCAGGAAAGGGATATAAGGTCGTCCTTGCTCTATGCAGCCACATCTCTGGAAAGAGTCTTTTTTCTTCATTCCATCTTTCAAGGAGGAGGTACATTATACTTGAGGGCATGTTGTATCTAAGACAAATATGGTAAATTAGATATAAACTATTGTCATTAAAAACTTTTTATTTAAGCTTTCCTAATAAGATTTTCAAAGAAGAGGCAACCAAGCAGAGAAACCAGTCACTTCCAAGTCTGTTCATCAGAGCACCCCAAGGAAAATCCAAGGATCAACGGTCATAAACGCCTACAAGACCGCTTTAGGCTGGACATAAGAAAACATTTCTTTACTGTCCTAGCCCCCAAGACCTGGAATAGACTCCATCTAGATGTGGTGCAGGCACCTACTCTGGACTTATTCAAGAAACATTTGGATGCTTATCTTGCTGGGGTCCTTTACCCCTAGCTGACTTCCTGCCCCTGGGGCAGGGGGCTGCACTTGATGATCTTTGATGTCCCTTCCGGCCCTAACGTCTATGAAATCTCCTTAGGAACCAACTCCTCCGATATAAATCATTTTGGGGTAGTTTGAATGGCTGTTTCTGCACTGTGCAGAAATCTTCTCTATCCCGCAGGTCTCTGAATTTATTTCTACAGCCCTAAAACACTACCACCTGTGGTTATCAGTCAAATTTGTTTTCTATCTCAAGCCGTTGCTATGGTTAAGCTGCAAATTTCCATCCTGTATCAAACAAATTGCCTGTAATACCAATACAAAAACAAATCAGAAATCTCAAGCAGGACTTTATGCAAAAATATCTGTGCTCCCATCCTCCGCCCACTCAACAGCATCCACTGTCCCATAACATGTTGTATTCAGTAGGGCACTCTGTTGCCTGGTGCCAAGATCGTCTGGTACATTCCAGTCCCAAAAATACCTTCAGCGGAGAGAGTTAGCCGCATACAGAATTCATAGCTCTGCAGAAAGAAAAGGATTTCTCCCACATGACAAAGGAGTTGTGAGTAATGTTATAGCCGATTATATTAAATAACTGAGAAGCACTTTTAAGTAGATCTTCAGCTAACACTAAAGGTCAAAGCAGAGGCCCCTTGTTTCAGGATACTTTACGTGTAACATATATTACATGTTTCATGTAATAGCCTTTACATAATACTAGCGGTGTCCTCATGCATCTTTCAAAGTGATTTTGTAGCAGTTGCCACTTAGTTTGAAACCAAGTGATAAAATAACAGGTAGCACTTCTATAAGTTTTAGATCCTCAGAGAATTTAACAAGCATTAAGTAAGATTTTGAAGCTTGAGACAGCAAGAGGCAATGACAGCGGCAGCAGCAGCAGCAGCAATTATTGCTTGTGCTTGTTTCTATTCCTGGCAGGCAGAGGACTTGATCAGAAAGCAGCAGCAAAAGCAAGACGTGGCAACCCAGGCGGCATCCAGGAATGGAGAGGCTGAAGGCAACAGTGAATGGCACCTCAGAAAAAGCAGTTTGCCCCCTGATAGAGAGCTATAAGCACATTTTACTACCCTTTGCCTACAGCTGTGTGTTTGTGCTGGGGCTGCTCCTAAACGGTGCCATGCTATGGCTGTGTTGCCGCACTAAAGAGTGGACCTGCACCACCATCTACCTGGTGAACTTGGCAGTGGCTGATCTCCTCTACCTCTGCTCTCTGCCTCTGCTTATCATTAGTTATAGCATGCAGGATACATGGCCCTTTGGAGAGTTCCTCTGCAAAATGGTACGTTTCTTGTTTTACTGCAACCTCTATGGCAGCATCTTGCTGTTAACTTGCATCAGCATCCATCGCTTTCTGGGAGTTTGCTACCCCATCCGTTCACTGCCTTACAGGACCAGGAGACTGGCTGCCATTGGCACTGCTGTGTGCTGGCTACTGGTATTTCTGCAACTCTTCCCCACCTTAATCTATGCTCGCACTGGTACCATCAATAACCACACAGTTTGCTTTGACATGACTAGCCCCGACAACTTTGGCAACTATTACTCCTATGGCATGGCTCTCACTGCATCTGGTTTTGTCCTCCCCTTTGTCGTCATTTTAATCTGCTACTGTTTGATGATCAGAAGCCTGATTCAAAACACTGGGGAAACCAACCCCCTTCCCAGTGCTGTTCGAGCTAAATCAATCCAAACTATCCTGCTCGTGTGCAGTCTTTTTGCAGTTTGCTTACTTCCATTCCATGTTACTCGTGCGGTCTACCTTTCCAGCCGTGTCTATCAAGTGACAGACTGCCGCCTCTTACAAAGCCTCAGCTTATCCTATAAGATCTGGAGGCCACTGGTGAGTCTCAACAGCTGCTTTAACCCACTCCTGTATTTTCTTTCTGGTCAAACTAACAGAGCCAGACTCATTCTGGAACTGAGGCTACATAAAGGGGATCGCCTTCCCAAGCAAGCTGTGAATGCAAAGGGGACAGGTGCACCTCATGGGACTACTCCTTCAGGTATGGGAGCAAAGCCTGGAGAAAGTAACCTCCAATAACTTCCTGTCATTGCAGTTTTGTTCCAATGAAGAGTGAATATAGCAATTTAAATGACTAGGTGCATAGCTTTCAGAAGTCAGAAAACCACTCACCTACACCAATAAAAGAGACGCCGTGTAATTAAAGTTTTTCTTGTCATGAGAAAAGCTTCAGTGAGGACAGACTGGGGTTACTTATAAGGAAGTATTTATGAAGGACTTTGAGACAAGCTGTGAGCATTTTGTATGTCAAGCAACAGCAACAGTAACACTAAACCTCCTCTTAGCTCTCTTTCACCAAGGAAAGGGGAACTGTGAACATGTACAAATTGGAATGGGTACAAGGTGAGGAAGACTGAGGTTGAAATGGAGGTAAAGCAATTCATTACCTCCAGGTATAAGTTAGATACTAAAACCACTTTACTATAATTTTAAAGCATCTTCATTCGCATTAAATTTTTTTTGAAGCAAAGAAAGACCTGTCTGTTGCTGCTTCATTGACTGCACTTGCAAGAGGAAAGTTGGTCATTTCATTTGCTAGCCAGGGCTGCTGAGCACAGGACATGATCAGAGGGTCTGGTCTTGTCCTTAGAAATGTCAACAAGGTAAAAGTATTTCAGAGAAAATGTTGGTTAATTTAGTACAAACACCTTATTTTTGATGCAAAAAGTCTTTTTGCTAGAATCTTGGTTTACAAGAATTTTTCTTCAGGTGACAACCAGCAAGACCTGTGTGTCATTATTTCCTAGGAGTCAGAGTTCTACAGCCCTAAAAAAACATTTATAAATCACAGAATGACCAGATAGCTCAGCAGCTCAAAATGAAGGGAGCTACCATTAGGCCAAGAATCTGGCCAGCAAGCTGCCACAGATTGTTGTTCTATTTCTAGTTGGATGTTGCCACCAAAAGACAATTTTTCAATGTAGAAATGAGCACATGACATGGTTTCAAGTTCACATGCTGTACAGAACATGCTTTAGCACTACAACAAAAAAGTGTATTTTTTACCCAGCTTCACCAGTCACATTTTGTATACATCTTAGATCATGAACTCTGGGACACAGGCAGATTTTATCTATTAACACACAGAGTTACCTCAGTAGAATTAAGTATATTGTTTTATTTGTGCAAGATATTAACGGATGCCAACAAGTGTACCTTTGTTCTGTAAGCAATCCTAGTCCTCATTACAATTGATGAGGATCCCACTTGCCAATCATTCAGGCTACATGGAAGCAGCAATGAAGCTCTTTTATGGAACAAAACACTGAAATAAATAGAACCCAACACCCCAGACACTGGGCGAGTGAGGGAGGCCTGAGCAAGGATCTACTCATAGACAAGCAGATGGGTCAGTCCATAGGGACTGTTGTGCTTCCATAAGTGGCCTACAAGACGAAGAAGAATAAATAGAATAGCAACAAATAAACACCTCTTCATTTTATCAATTTGTTCTTCCATATGCATATAGACAATTTCAGGGCCCTGCTGAATTAAGATGGCAGAAGTATACAGTATCTGCAGCCTGACATCTTACTTGGCTACTATAGATGGGATTGACAAGGAATATGAATATTGTATTATTTCATTGTGGTGTATGTTGCATACCCAGTAGCACCCCCAATGTGCTAGGTGCTGTACAAAAACTGCAGTTATCAGGATGAATTTTAAATTCAGGTTTACAATTTTACCCTTTTTTTAGATTTAAATGAAAGCTAAAAATCAAGAGTCACCTATTCACCTGCCTGGATACTCAATTTTACAACTGCAGAAAACACTTGGCATACTTAACATACAAGTTAATGCTTCAGTAAAATGTTAGCTCAGCCAGCAGATAAAAACTCCTTCCACCCCTCATTCCCTCAGCACCTCCAGCCATATTATTTTATTGGTCTCCAGACACTCTGGCCAATGGATGAGTTTTGTGGCATACCTACTTTTAGAAGAGCTCTGGGTGGAATTGCACATGCCCTCTCACAACACTACTCATGTACTGAAAGTGAGAATAGAGAAGTTTCATGTTGTTGGGAAAACAAGTATTTTAAATTTGACTCTAAATTAAGCGGCTCTATCAGGCTACTACATTTATTACTATTACTTTTACTCCTTTATTCAGTAACTGATGGAGGACTGGCAATGGGATATAGAGATTTAAAATTTCCAATATGTTCACTGAAATTGAGCCCAGATTGTTAACTGAAAGTTGCCACCATCTGACAGCCATTTAGTGGTCAAAGTAGGTTTGGTTTCAAGGTAGTTTCTAGTAAACGACCCAACAAATCACCACTTCCAGCACAGGCCAGTGATTAAATGGGTCTGGAGGCAAAAATTCTTCCTTACCCAAAAGTACCATACCAAGATAAGGCAATGTTTATGTCACCTCCTAGCTATACCCAAGACTGCAACCAAGGCCCCAGGCAGAAATTAAAATAGCGGGATTAGAATTAAAGGAATTTTATGCCCCATCCCATAAATTGTGCATCCTGCATGTTACACATATGGCAGGATGCACATTAGGGCTGAGGTATAAAATTCCTTGGATGCCAATCATGTGACTGCAAGGGCCAAACTGAGACCCAGGGCTGCACCCAGTCCAATCCCATAGATAGGACAGCATAAAGCTGTGTCACAGACCCAATTCTAAACACCCAGCTGGCCGTTGGGAACAGGCACAGGGTAGCCCAGGGTCCCAGCCGGAGACCACAGGTGCCTCCAACCTGATCTCAGGGATCAAGCAAAGGGTGGCTTTGGCCTGGACCCTGGAGCTGTCCCATGCCCAATCCCAATATTCAGCTGGGAAAGCCCCTACCCCCATCTCAAGCTCCCATATCCTGGGTTTTTAAATACCATGTGTGCATCCCAGCTGGGCTGTATGTGCAGTTTTGAAAAGCCAAGGGTGCTGGAGATTAAACAGGGGGCAATTGTGTCCTTGACCCTAGAGCTGTCCCTTGCCTCCGTCTAATACTCAGCTGAACATCGTGGTGTCTGGTTTGTACTGCACCTTAAACAGAAGATTTAACAGTTGTCCTAGAACCAGTACTGCCCAGAGCCAGATCACAATACCCAGGTGAGGTTTGGGTGGGATGGGACACATGCTACATGTTTAATGTAAGGTAAAATATAAGCCAACCACAACAGTGTTCTACATTTTTGTGCCATAAATTGACATTCTACAATTCATGGTGCTGCCATAAAATGTAAACTCTGCCAGGGCCCCAAGAAACAAATCCTGGCCACATGCTCCTGAGCAGTCATCATGTGGAGCATACTACTGGGAAGGATCCAAAGTACACACCACGACACTGGTCTCAGGCTTTTCACAGAATACACACATTATGCATGTTACTTCTTTCCAAGCATTTATAGCAACAAAATAGTGAAGACGGTAAGCAGTGTACTTCTGAACTACTGGAACTGCTCCGTTATGCCACTGCAAGTGCAAGTCCTATACTCATGCTAACATCCACATCCAAAGTAACTTGTGAAGAATTCTGTGAACAGGAGCAATGCACCATTAGCAGGGCTTTTGCTCCCAGGGAAAAAAAAGGGAAAAAGATGTTTAAAATGAAGCCTTATGCAAAAGCTGTTCAGAAAGAAATAGTTTTCAGCCAAAATGGACTGAAGTCATTTAAGAGTAGATGCTAACAAATACATACTGTTACCCTCCAGCGCCACTTGAGGAATCAATCTATCCAGTGGCCAAGGCCTGCAAAACATTTTCTTCTTCCCAACACTTACTTTAAAAAACTGTTTGCCTATGTTCCTTCTTCCCACCTCTACAAGCAGATTTTCATGAGAATTTCTATTTTACAAAAAGTCTCCTCTGTTCCCACCATCAGCAATGCCACACTGTAGCAAAAACATGACAACTTCAGTCTGAAGCAGAAGAGTTCCAGGCAGAGAACTCGCCTAAGCCTGAAGCAGGCAACTCAGCGATGGAACTACAAAGCCCTGTGCCGCCACAAGCCAATCAGAGGGCCAAGGGGGCAGAACTGGCACACAGCATTGATGGCTTCATGACCAGAAGTAAATTGAGAAAGCAGCAGGAGCTTTGAACTGAGGGGTTAGAAGTGGGAAAGATGGGGGTTTGGAGGTAGTGATGTTACTTAGTTGAGGAGAGAGAGATCAGTTCTCCTCTCCTGCTGGAACACAGAAGCAACACTTAAAAAGGCAAGTTAAGTAGTAAAAAAAAAAAAAAACCCCAATAAGTTATGGAGTCAGATGCCCTTATACATTTAGTTTTATTTATTACAAAAGACCAACATTTATAAGTCCAACAAAAAAAGTCCAAAATAAACAAAAAGACGCACTCCACAAAGAAACAAACATCTGTTGTACCCATTCCTTCCATTCTGAAGGTAGTATAGAAAAATAAAACTGAAACCATGTGTCACGGTAATTCTCTACAGCACCAAAAGGAAAGTTTCTTGACTAATTTTTCCTGGATTAAATTTCATGAGGATCAACCATGACAGTTCTTGCTTGATATTAATACTGTCTTTGGTAAAGTATGTACAATACTCTCAATACAGTAAAAAGAAAAAAAGGGGGACTTTAAGGGTTCTATGAATGCAAAGATGTGAATTTCTAAAAACCAAAAGATGTTTTCCCTATTTAATTAAAAATATACAAATATATTTAATTAGGAAAAAGTAAACAGTATAATATAATAAAAATCAGTCCTGCTTGGATGCAAGCAAGTTTTCCCACGGTTATCAAGGGTACCCACATCTCTTTAAGATGAAGCTGGTTTTAAGACCAATTTCATCCCAGCAATTGAAATATTTCACCTTAGACCCATATATAATTCTTAAAACCCATACTGGTAATTATAAAATTAAATTTGCTGTTGTTACAACAATGTATCAAGAACCATTTCCATAGGAAAAGAGCTCAACCTTGCTTACAAGAGGCACAAATCCATATAAGAACACCATTAATACTAAAATACTTCTGGAATTCTCATTTTTTGGAGCACAGCGCATTCATTAAAAATCACAGGAAGAATTTCTTAAAAAGAGGCTTCACCTTAGTTTAGTTTCTATGCCAACATTTTCTATAGGAAAAGCAGCACTGAATTATTGCAGTACATTAACAAGGTTGTCCATGGTAGACTGTAGCATAGCCAACAAGAATCAGCACGTGAGAGTATTATAGCTCAAAGCTTCAGATTCCATTTTGTAGAGCCCACAGAAGTTAAATTTCAACACTTGACATTACAATAGAATCCACGTATTGGGAACAGATTTTTTAAAGGTAAAGTGAAGGTTGCAAGTGTCAGCTTCTGGGTTCAAACAGAGCCAGATGATTCATTATTTACCCTTGGGAAACACGGACTAACCAATTAAAAATATATATCAAAGAAACCCAGTTAGGTTTTTTATTAGCAAAAGAATAAGATTCGTTAATTTGCTTTCGTTTTATGTTCTCAACTACTGAGAGCAAGGTTGCCTGGGTGTGAAGTTCAAAGAGTTTCCGCCTCTTGACAAACTTGGGCTGCAGGATGTTACTTCAGCACACTTCTGTGTGCCAGTGTAGGTAAGTGGGAATAATAGTTAGCTGGTAGCTGCAAAAATAAAAAAAAAATAAAAAGTGAATCTTGTCAAAAGCTTACTGCTCGGCATACCAGTTGTCTGTCAGGTTAAACTATTCATTTAGCTTTTACCTCCTTAAAATCTATTTTTGGGGTTTTGGGTTTTTCTTTTTATTATAGTCATAGGTGGGATATTTCTTATGGCCATTGCATAAAATTTTAAGATTTGCATCCCCCCCCCCCCCCCCCCCCCACCACATACATACATACATACAAAACACAGCTTTTTAAACTGATAAACTAACAACATTAACTTGCCAAAATACTTCCAGGTTCAGTCCTTAAAACTAATGTTTACCATCCTATACTCTTCCGTGTTAAAAAAACCTACTAATACCTGAGCTCCTAGTCTGGAGAGGTATCTATTCCTTAAACTAATATGATCCTTTGGCCGTAATTTGGCCAAGTCATCTTCATTCTGACGTCTGAGTTTTTCTTGTTCTTCTGCTCTGGAAAACAAAATCCAAAGTTTTGCATTGAGATGTGCAAACCAGAACATATTCCAACCCATTAGTTACTGCAAGTAAAACCGAGTTTAAAAGTTGTCGTAAATGAAGACTGTGTCATGAGAAAGATTAGAAGCAGATTTAAGACACATTAATTTGATATGCAAAAAGAAGGAGAGACTTTATTTTCTGCAATATTTTTTATTTAGCGTGGTAGGACTGTTTTAGAAAGCAAGATATCCAAGGAAAATTTATACAAGTTATAACATACTCAGTCACTTCCATAACAAAATTTAGTCTGCTTTTAACAAACAATATTTTATCCTTTAAAATGAATTAAGATTACAGCACAGAGAGGATAAGTGGTCAAACACCATACTAAAGAGACTGCTTAGCAGTCTGACATAGTAAAGAGCAACCAGGATTTGGTTGTACCAAAGATTAAAGATCCCGTACTTGGCCATACAGTACTTTTCAAAAACTGCTCTGACTCCCAGCCATTTTCCACGTGAGCCAGTTGCTTAAAAGAAGAAAGAAAAAAAAAGTTTTGGAAAGCTGAACTGTTGTTTTATTGCTGTAAGTGTTTAATATTAAATGAGACAAGTTAAGCATTAAGGAGAAAGCTCTTAACAAGTTTCAGAAGTCAGTGTTCCCTGAAGTATACAAACTATACATAATCATAAATAATTGCTCAAGTTAACATCATTAAGAAAAAAAACTCACAAAAAAGTTTCTTTATGTAGCCTTCATTATAAAGATATTGGCTTCAGACTGCAAAACTCCTTTTCAATAGCACAAAGCTTCAATTCAGATGCTATAAACCAGCAAAAGTCAAGTGCTTTGAGAGAGAAGAATGTTTGGCAGATATGAACATTTGCCATAAAACATAACTTCAGTCATAAAATAGTTTACTGTAAAATCCTCAGCATGTTAGTTTTTCAATTAACTAATGTCCAGTGCTAAGCATCAAGCTTTAAGAACACTATAATTCTTCAAGTTGACATGGTGTTGTTCAAACGTTCCCCACTTCTGGATGATATTTGCTATTCAAATTTCTTTTCTGAAAAAAACATTGTAATGAGAATTATTGAAAACACTGCTACAAAGAACCATGGCATGCAAGGGTCAAAGCAAAACCACAAAAACTATTCTTGTCTTTCAAGTGACATACTGTTTTTTTGTCCAATACAGAATGTGCAAGCACAAGTATGCAGGTTTTGGTATTTTTTGGTAAGTTGTTTGCTTGTTTTTAAATAAACATCAAGCCACATTAACATGGATCAGCCCTGAAGTAGGCCACGACCGCCTGCCTTGCAGCCTGCCCCTGCTGACCCCATCCAATAACTGTCACGGACCAGATCTAGCCCATAAGCCACAGGA